ATTTATTTACTTTTATAATTAATTTATAAAAGTATTGTGTGTGGGTTGGCAAGAAAGTTATTTTTCCGCTTGCACCAATAAATAGTGTTATGTTTTTTTTTTTTTTTTTTTGTTAATGTTAGAGTTTTTTTTCTTTTGATATACATATATATTTTTATTTTTATATTTATATTTTACTATTATATACTATATTTTATTTTATACTTTTATTAGAGATATAACAGTCAATGTAAGTTTGCAGTACATACGTAAATTTTAGAATTGATTAATTATTCAATAATAAACTCTTGAGTTATTTCTTTACTATCAGCATTAAAATCACTATTTAATTATATTTTTTAAAAATCAGTTAAACAAGTGGTGGAAACATCCGACTGGTATTTGTATTAATTTTAAATACGGATCGCATTAAATTTACAAATGATTTCTAATTATTAAACCTTCGTAGATGACGAACGATCGATACCACCTACCCATGAATTTATTTATGGAAGGAAACAAAAAGTGAACATTTTTTTTTTTAGATTAAAATAATTGTTGAAAGTGTTTTGGTTGAATTGGAAAACATTTGTTTACGATAAGTAAATTTTTTATTATCTTTATTGTTACAGATTGGATCAAATGTATATGTATGAGACTATGATTGTATATAAGATCCTCATATATAAATACATGCATGACTAATATCGTGTTTAACTATTATCGTGATCTGATTAAATGTTGAAGTATTTGCAATATCAGTATTTATCTGTAGCTATTATTCGTTACGAATAATACACAGGAGAGAGAGAGAGAGAGAGAGAGAGAGAGAGAGAGAGAGAGAGAGAGAGAGGGGGGGGGCATCACTGAAGACGAATTGGAAATGGGTACGCAGGCTTCTTATTGGATAAGTCTGCGAAATTGGTAGATAGTATATAGTTTCCAAGGTCTCGGCCTTGACCGTGCTAGTCAGGGTCTTCATCCTTGCCTGATCGATTTCTTATTCGATGCGTTTCAATCGCACGAACATCAACACCCATACTTCCAATTTAATATTATTTTTTATAACAATGAATTTTTCGTACTTTTTATTCTACGATCTAGTATTCGCAATCATTTTTTTTTTTTTAATGAAATCAAAATTTCAACATAATACTATTATATAGTGTCTAAGAAAATATATTTCTAGTACGGTTTTTTATTTTATTTTGTTGTTGTTGTTGTTGTTAAGTTTATTTCTCGAGATTCTAAAGTTTAAAGTATATTTTAATGTATAGAAATTCTAAAAAGATTAAAAATTAAGT